GTGTGAATAAGAATGGAAGCACAATATAGCTGTCATTAGCACAGTCAAACAAAAGCACGTTAAAACAAACACTGGTACAGTTGGTCATAATAATAATTGTTTTTATTAAACCAGTCGTGTTCTCGTGATAAATGTGAGTCACTACAAGCTCATCAATTATGATACTAAATCGTGGTGTAAACTAAATTCGTATAGAAACTTCGCAATATCACCTTATGTCATTATAAAATATAGTTTAGTTAATGATAATTATACACTGAAAATTTGTTCAAAATTGTGAGTAATCACATCCGCATTCAGTATGATCACCAATTTATCCTACGCTGATTAACGATAATTCGTGTGTAGGTTAAATTTAGAAAAATTCTATAATTTATTTTCATTCTCATTCATATTTATCTAGACAAATATAAATGTTAAAAATATTTTCTATCATATTTAAACAATGAATAAGTAAACTTAACTTCGAATTTTTTTTAATGTTTAGTTGATTATGTGATCTAATACATTTCTATGGTAATTGAAATATTAACAAATGGATATGATGTATTTAACCGAGTTCACACACGTTTATTGTTAATACAAATTTGATTAAACCAATGGTCCAGTATACAACATACTATCTCTTCATGAACTGTATACTAATAAAAAACACCATATATATATAAATGCATTTGTTTATGAATAAGGTTAGTTTACAATTCATGGTGTTCACATAGTCAATAGTTCTTAGGAGTCTTTTTTCACACAGTTAATGATACATAGACAAGTATTCCAGATATTGGAAGAATCGATATATGTTTTATATTGAAAATTATATATTACTATGTAAATGAAGTGTATCATGATTTGGACGTCTGAAGCGTATTTTTCTTTTTAAGAGTATTTAAGTAATATATTATGAATACTTGTTCAGTAACAGAATTGAATTGTTTACAAAATCATCCGATTTAGAGTAAAATATATTTTGAAAGCAAGCAATTATTAAAGAATCCAGAGAAATTTATTTTCATTAGGACCATCCCATCCTTATCTAACAACTACTGACAATTATAATATTGAATAGTATCAGAAGGGGTTTTTTGGAGATTGTAGTAATTTAAACAGTTTGAGATCATGAGTCAATTGAAGCTAGACCACCATGGGGAACCTGGAAGCACTGGACAGCCGCTTCGTTCTATTGTGGGACTCAGCAGTGCGCATCCACGATCCCGCAGGATTCGAGCCCAGGGCCTATCAGTCTCGCACCAAGCGCCTAACCAACTAGACCACTGAGCCGGCATCCAAAGGTGTTAATGTATAACTTCAACTAATCCACGAAATTGAGCGACACATCCACCATTGTCATCAGGACTGATAAGTCCTGGGTTCGAAACTCGCGGGGTGCGGGATCGTGGATGCGCACTGCTGAGTCCCACGATAGGACGAAACGGCCGTCCAGTGCTTCCAGGTTTTTCATGGTGGTCTAGCTTCGATTGACTCACGCTCTCAAACTGTTTATAATATTGAAATTTTTTTGAACTTGAACTAAACAATTTAAATTATGTTAGGTTGCTATTTTTAGGTCGGTATATCGGTAATGACTTAATCACTTTTTAATTCTGTAATATGCGTAACTTTTAAATAACTTACGTTCAATAAGTTACGCACTTTGTGAATTACAATAACAGCTTTTCTTATTCAACCAACTGTTGTTGAGCAATCTACTGAATTTATCAACCAACTCTATGCATTAAACCAGTGGATGAATGTATTTAAATCAAATTAGGAAAGTAGGATTTTCTAAAGTTTGAAAAATGTTTTACGAAAGATCCATAGTGTGTAAAACTGTGATTAATCATTACTTTCACGAAGTTCAATAGCTGTACTATTTCTTGTACTTTTGTTTATTTTTTTGTTTCATTTAGTGGGAGAATACTGCATGTAGGAGTGTGATTTCCATTAGTGATTTCACTTTAAGCCTTCCACAATATTTATGTTTTTCATTAGTTGATTGAGCCACACTTCATCGTATTGGTAACAGGCATGAATAAGTTCAAACTTTAATGAAGATTACACCATTTACGTATTAAATGAACTGAAGGATAGACAAAAATGCTGAACACAACACTGAAAATGGTGATGACAACTTCAGCGTATATGCAGTATATCTGGTCTTTAGGGGAGTAGTAAAAACAACTAAATAGCTCAGATCTTGTATTTATTTAACCGGTTTTACAAAATTCTGGAATGAATGAGGTGGCTGGATTGATTTAGAGCTGCAACTGGATTTTAAAAAGCCCTTTTTTAGTATATAAATAAAATGTTTTTTCCTATTTTTGCACATGCATATAGTTCCACCCATATTTTCAGTTACCCTGTAAAACAACGTAAATGATTTTCTTCCCCGTTTACTATCCACATTAAGTGACCATAAAACAATGACACACTATCAGAAGCTCCAAACAATTTCAAATATTTGCATTAAAAACTATGATGGGAGTATATGGATTCATTTCAACATCTCAAAAATCAAAAGTAATCAACGAATAATCTTTAATTAAATATGAATGACTTGACGTTATACTTGATTATCTGGAACGTTTCTAGACTAAAAACGAAAAATAAAATAACTTGATCTCTTAGTCGCCAACAACTTTCTTATTTGAACACTTTCGGTACCCTACTGGTGTCCTTATAGTATTGGGATGATTGTGTTCGTGAAAATTAAATTAAAAGTTTTTTTACGGACTGACATCAGTTGGAAAACTGGGTAGCTTTTTTATACAATTTTGCAGCTAATTAGTATTCTCTCGTCTGTCTTAAATTATGCACATGTAGCTGCTAGATTGGTTAGTCTGTCTGAAAATTTCCCTCATTAGCTATGACGACTTCACAAATTTTCTATAGAAACCTTACTGAACAAAAGCACCATTTTCGAAAAAGTTGAACTGAATACATTCATGTTACTAGGCATTTAGTACGCTTTATGTTATTCTGATTCTTTCGATCATGTTGTAATGCAACCAGTATTTTAAGTGATACTCCTCGAATGAACGGTTGATTATGAAATCGAAATAATGGAGGTAAATTTTACTGTTGTAATAGCTGATGTAGCCCAGGACTACAACGAGCGCTTCGAAATTACGCTAACAGGATCAACAAAGTGTCCTTCTAAACAAAGAGAGAAGGGGTTATAACGAATGTCACCCAGTGCTACGCTGTCAACAATGATAGCAGCGATTATAGCGATCAGTTTCATGGGGGAGTAATCGATTGTCGAGAAAACTTCAAGAACAGACCTAACCATCTTGACGTGAGACTTACCCTGGGTAAGATTCAAAATAGGAAAAATAAGAAAACGGTTTGCAACAACACTCAAATAAAAGCAGAGAAAGTCAGGATACACGCCGAACGTAAAAGTGGAAACAAAAGATTGGAGAAAAGCATTACAGATGACAAATGGAAATATGTGGAATACCTAGAAAAGACTGCAGAATAAGCTGTAAGGGAAAAAATATGACAGACCTATATAATACAACTAAGAAACAAGCAGAGAAAAAGAGATGATAGCAAGAAAAGTCAAAATCCGATTGATTTACTCATTATGAGTTTCATTCAACATTACTTCCGTTTCAATTCAATCTGATGATTATTCAGAGTAGTATTTGTTTTGTTTCCCGTATGATATTTTATGCTGCATAGGATACGATATTCTTGTATTCAACTGACATGAACTACGCTCAGCATGTGATTTGTTATATGGGTGTAGGAATCATTATAAAAATGAGTGTATTTCTTATTAGATTCGTCGTGTTTTTTGGGTTAATAAATCATCACTTATAACCAGTCTTCGTGCTCTTACTTTCGAGTCATAGAAATTGCAGAGGTCCCTCGTTTCGAGTATAAGTGATAAGCATTTCCGACACAACAATCAGCGACAACCAGATATAGCAAGTAGCGTTCAACTGACAAAACATATCAGAAACAAATCAAACTGATCAGTCAAAAACAAAGAAGACACATCAGTTAGCGAGGTTCAACAGCAGTGTAACAGATAGATAGAACACTTTGAAGAACTCTTTAACTGACCAGTCCCACAGAACCCACCAGATATCCAAGCAGTATACACAGCCCTATCTGTAGATGTAACAGCACCGAAAATGGAGAAAATCAGGAAAACCACTAGACAAATCAACTATGGGAAAGGAGCAGGATCAGACAGCATGCCAGTTGAAGCACTGTATAGAGGTAACTATCATGATGAGTCACGTTCTCTTCAGAAAGATTTGGAGGGGAGAACAAGTATAGGCAGACAGGAAATAAGGGTACCTCATCGAGACCACGGGAGGTCTTAGTATGTATAAAAAACAGAGACATCAAACTACTGTAAGTGCCAGGCAAAGTTTTAACAGAGTGTCGCTTGACTTAATGAAATATTCAGTAGACGCCCGATCTCAAGATCAAGAAATTCGCAGTGACCGAATTGCGAAACTACAATCAGTTGAACGGACTTATTTTATCTTATTCAAAAATAAATATCGGTACAAAGAGGCATCGAATATATACGCGTCACATCCGATTTGTGCGAGGGATTGGATACTTCCCGAGTGCCCAAACCGGAGGTGGTTTTCTTAGGGGACCACTCCGCTAGCCTTTAACCTAAAGGTCTAATCCACAAGGTAGTGGAGCAACGTCAGGAAATGCAGTCCTGTGGTAGTCGGCGACCATCAATAGGCTCACACGCCATTAGTTTCCTCAGGATTCTGGATCCCATGTGCACCATTGGTTTAAAATCACAGTTTTCCAACTCTCTTAGGTTGACTCTCCGTGTCCGTCAACCCGATCGAAACGTCGAACATTCGCCTTTCATTCTCTCAGTTTCGTAAACAATACCCCTGCCTTGAGAAGGTAGTGAATAAGACTTCACTGTCAGAAATTGAAATTGAACACACTGAAGCAAAGTGTAACTCATATTACTCACTTCTTTATGTACATTTAAGTTCATTTTAGCATATTTTCCTTTGACTTATTTTTTCTACTGATTCTGTTATGAATAAAATGTATTAGCAAGAAACATAAGCAAAATTTTTCCTGGTTAAATTAGTTTATAATTTGCTTGTATTCATTATTCTTTTTTAATGATAACTTAATTGTTTACTGCCTTTTTAAATAAAAAAGATTACCCACTAGTGAGACTATTTTATCAAAAATATCAGGTAAACAGTGTTTAGGAATTGGTAATTAAGAATATTTACATTACATCCACATATAATACTGAAAATATTAATTTATGTAAAGTAAAACCATATATACAGTATATAATTTCATAGTAACATTTTATGGTTTTTCAACAAATTAATTAATTCTTCCACAGATGTACAGAAATAATCGGATATAGTTTTAACTTTAGGACGAATAACATTGACACCGAAACCGATAAATACAGAAGCTGGTGGACAAGCATTTGCATCTGTCATTCCATCACCTATCATCATAACTGGAGTATGCAATTTATTCAGTAATTCATTAACGATTAAGGCTTTACCATCGGAACGACTAGTTGGTGCACTATGATCCAATCCAACAAATGTGCCTATGGGAAATTTTAAAAAAAGCTTACCAAACAATCGGAACATAAAGAAAAACTTACCATAATATTCAGAGTACTAAAAACATTGCTCTATTCAAAATATGGTCTAAAGATACTACTGATATGACTTATTGCATCACGATGATAGTGTGTACAAAGAAACATCAACAAAGCAGGTCTTGTTGTTAAATGCGTCATAGCTTTCTCAATTTCGTCATGAGTTGTACGGATGATGTGAATTGCTTATTGCAAAAACAGTCAAACCTTAGGCAACTGGAGAGTAGTTGTACATCAGTTGAAATATTCTTCGAAGTTTTTTAACCTACATTACATATTACAGACAAATTCCCTATTAGGTTATCGAATATTTTTCTAAGGAACAAAAATAACCTTGGACAACTGATAGTTGTAACAAAATGATGACCTCATTATAACGGATGTTTGGAAGGAGTAATCACAAATAAATTATAGTGAACATGAAATCAGTTTGCAGTGATTTAGTACTTATTAGTTAGTTTCATAACAGGAATTCTTCAATACAAAGCAAATCATTACTTCATTACCGAACATTACCCACACTCAGTTATTTTAAATATTTTTCAGTAAGTGAGTGACGCGCAACTTGGATTGGTTCAAGTTGACATACTACAGTAACACAGCGAAATAAAATTGTCAAGACAAATCCTAGAATAGTAGAAGTGATAAAGTAACAGTAGTAGTAAAAAATAAACGAAAAAGTATAAGATTTTAGGATTTAGTAACCACAGAAAGATAGAGAGTGAATCCACCTGAGCTATTACAACCGATTTTGAGTCATTCCCCTCAAAGCCTCTAGTTATGTGAATCCCAACCAGGTGGTCTACAACGGTCCAGATGTCAGTGACTTTATGGACTGGTGCCACGTCTTATTTGATACCCGTTAGTCTTCTTCCAACATACTCCTACACCATACACTTCCCCACATCAAGGTAGTCGGTGGTTGGATAACACATGTCCTAATCACCTCAACTAATGAATATTTACTACATCGTCAACTGATCTGCCATATCTACATAATACCATATACCTCTTTTCGGCACCGTCCACTCAGTGGTCCAAAAATACGCCGGCAATGCTCCAAACACACTTATGATTGGATGGTAATAGCCTACGAATATCCCCTAATTTCAGTGGTTATGTTTCACACCCATGAAGTGAAACGGAGCAAACTGGTGAACAGTAAACTCGTCATTTGGTTGAAAGATGGATACTTCGCCTACCCCACAAATGACACAAGCTGGCAAAGTCAACCAACCTTTCAGTATTCGTGCCAAGATTCCGTCATACAGCAGGCTATCAGAGATGAGATCTCCAAAATAAGTGAAGTGGTCGACGCACTTAACTACATCACTCCCTATCATTACTTCAGGAGTTGACACAGACCAATCTTGGAACAGCATTTTGGATTTGAAGGGGAGCAATTGCGTTGCTGCCTAAGGTGGTCAAAAGAATGCATCTTATCAGGATCTTCATCAACACAGAACCAAGTCACCTGCGTATTCTAAGTCAACAAGTAAATCTCCTGGTGGAACACGAATCCCTCCAAAGTCAGATGATGAAAGTGACATATCTATGATAAAGTCAAATAAAAATGGGGAAAGCGCACAACCTTGCACAACACCACTTGAAGACAGTCCCCATCAGTAGTGTTCGAGTAGAGAGACTGTACAAGGTTGATGTACTTCCTTGGTTTGTCTTCCAATGACAGACGCACAGAACTTATCAATCAAGAGTCTAACGCTACCTTATGCGCCACACAGTAGCAATGAGGTTATGAAGAGATAGAGAATTTAAAATGCGTATATTAAAAGAAGAACAATAACGAACAGATATCAGTGTATGAGAGTGAAATAATAATAATAATAATAATAATAATAATAGTTCAGTTAGCAAAAATATAACCAGAAAGAATTCTTTCAATTAGAGAAGTTACGTTTATTTTCTATGGAGTAAAAGAAAGTTACAACAGGATCGCCACTGGATTCTATTTTGAGCCATGTTTGATAATGTTTCAAGCCACTGTGTTGCATCATCTCTAGGACCCCAACCAGGGAGTCATGGAGGACCAACAGAAGCCAGTCCTGTACAGCTTTCTTTCATATCACGACACCATTTCATAAACTGATGCATGATGTGGACTTATCCCCCGATAGTTGTTGCAGAAACAACGTGAACCCTTTTTAAAGACAGGGATAACTATTGACTCGTTTCATGACGGAATACTCTAATTGTCAGACCTTTGTAAATAATTCAATCACTTCCATAACCAGAAATTCACTACCATCTTTAAAAAAGGTCGAAAGTAAGTCATCTGGGCCCGGTGATTTGTAGTGCTTCAAGAGTTGGAGTTCCTTGCGGACTTCTGTCTCATTTGGTGAATCAGTCATCACAGGCCATGGAGGGCAAGACAGTCTGATCGATATTGCCGGGGCAGCAGATCAGTTGAACTGCCCCTCCTCCGAGACGTCGGTAGATGTTAGTGATTGACATCCCGTCATCTTCACAGATTGTTTCGCTCACACCAGACTTCTTGCTGCCAGTAAATCAGATGAGCCAAAAGAGCCTCCGGCAGTTACCACATGCAGGTGCTGCTTCCAACCCATTGGCATGCTCCGACCACCAGGCTTTTCGGTTCTTACACAAGCCTTGTCAAATTTCATTTCGTAACAGTCTTCCCTTGGGGTTAAACTCGAGGTCATCCGGAGTAGACCGACAGGCTTCAATGAGTTGTAAGGAGCCCAAAGAAACCCCGTGCTCATAAGCGGGACTTTTCGAAGAGCTGCAAACGACTTTACTCGCCATTTTCATGGTATCATGTAATTGCAACAAATGTTTATCTATACTTTTCGGTGGGTTGGTAGCTAGCCTTGAACCTAGCTCGATTTGATATTTAGTTACAACTGAAGTTTCTTACACATTAAAGAGTAAAAACAGAAGAATACACTGGTATATGGATCGACAATCATGCTCAGCCACCTATGTTAACATTTTAATCCTGAGTTACTCAATTTCAAGGTCCTAGTGAGGTATTATGCACTACCGGACGCTGGTTTTATATAACTGCTGCTACTACCGGTTCGGTTATACCGGAGTAGCTGAAGCAAGGTTCAAACTTGTGATTGCATCGCGCAATCGTAAACTCATTTATAAAGATACCATATGTGTGAATTAGTAGCGTTTTCTTCCCTATTACTTATTTTAATTTGCTTCTGTCTCAAAGAAACATTACAGATATTTATAATAAGGTCAATAATTTTATGATGAATAAATCCTGGGTGGCTTCTCAATTACTCATATATATAATGCTCAACTGTAGTTTCAACTTGTACGAGAACAACAACATTGTTGCTTTGTAGAAGAGTCTGACCATTTTGAGATTAACCTTGAGTTGCAGAGAAGCGATGCTAGTTGGTGCCCACGAGAAACAGTTTGTGATCTGTACAAAACTTCTGAAGGCGATTCGTTTTATCTAGGCTGAGACTGATGAGCTCCCTTGTGACACCCAGTCAGTTCCTTTATACACACGAACTGGACACTCAAAATTCAAGTTTGTATCAAAACACTTTCGAAAGCTCGTTATCGAGATTGTCTAACTAATGGTTTGATTCACCCTTGAGATGGTGGAGAAGATTTGTAGCTCAGGTGGATGATTTTGATGGAGTTTTGTTCTCTGAGCTGGATGGCTTGGTCATCGTTCTTCTGAACAACATCATCAGCACAAACTTCAGGTAGAAGTCTTCTACCAGCTCAGAGAACAAAACATCATCAAAATGATTCACCCTTCAACGAGTCCGAACTACAACTTATAGGTGTGTAAAATGAGAACCAAAAACAAATATTTCGCCTCACCAATAGCTCATCCTAGTTGTAGGGCCAGCGAAATGTCACTAAGCCCTAGCCAAATCATATGGCAGTTGGGTCATTGCATATCGAGCAAATCATCGATCCTCGTCAAGGTCAGGGACGACCAACGCGCATCAGTTAGTCGTATACCATGTACTGGCCCATGCGGCAGTGGTCTTACTTTCGCTTGTATCTACCTTAACCAATATATTTCTGTAATAACGTCCTCTGTGTTGGACAGTCTTCAAAGCACCTATGGTACCTTGATACGTCAATGGGGTAGTTCACGTAAGGTGCTGACCACGAGGTGTGACTTCGACGTTAGCTGGTTCGTCACACCATTCCCGTCTAATTCGAAGTCTCCAATCATTTCGACATAGATCATCTACGTTGGTGATCTACACTGGTGAGCAAGACTTCGAATAATGCAACCTATCACTACATAGTAAAACCTGGCTTAGCACTACGTAAACAACCGTTACTAAGATTCCAATCGTCTAATGGTGATTACACATTAGTGTACCATAAGTATGTATGTACTATGAGTGTTTGCATTACCAGTGACATCGAGCTTCCAAATAAGTGCACGTAGAGCAAACTTTTGAACCATAGATAAAGAACGTATTTGTGGTACTTGACTGGAAACTACGCAGGTATCGCAATAAATGTACTACCTGGATTCATCTCTCCGCAGCTCAAAGCTGAACTTGAAATGAATATAATGCAAAGCTGCCGCTCATTTTCGAATAGCTACACGAATTTTGATAATGCTTCAGTAAACATCAAAGTTATCTTGAGTTTCGGTGGTAAACTACTTCATTATATTAAATGAACTGGTGTAAAGGAATCGGTTTTAACTACAATTGTGACCAAATTTTGAACTGAGCTAGTACGAAGTGCAGCTGTCAACTTAATGTAAGTCATAGATAAGCACTGGTTACACTTACAAAATTTCATGAGAATGTTGAGTGAATTAGCTTGCAGTCTCAAGAGCCTCTTCCACAAAACAAACGTTAGCGAAACCTGGAAACGCATTCCAAACAAATATTTTTCTTAATTTTGTCATAAGACTTACTAAGTAAGACGTTGGTCCTATTTTAAATCGCCAAGATTTGTGTAGTATCATACTTCTATAAATGAAATAGGTAAGTTTATTTACGTTTCAAAAAAGCTAGCATAGCTCCTGAATACAATTGCTTCTGGAAACTTGATAAATATTCAATATGTAGGAGATACTGATCTATTCCCGAGGGATGAAGTTCAATAAACCAGGCTTAAATCAATAATTTATGATTTTAAAGATTGGTCTGACCATCCGAGCTTCAATATGAGACTTAATCCTACACTAAATAGCAGAGGTAATCAAAGTCATGTTGATTATTCAAATAACATATTCTGACTTTAGGATTGTTTATGGAATCGAAATCTATCAAGGTATTTTTGTCTTAAACTCTTTAGAGTAGTTAAAGTTTATATCCAAATTATTTATTTAAAAAAACCCATTCCTCGTTATCATAACAACCTTAACCTAATATTTTTTCTGGTTAGCGCTTTTTTAAAGATTTAGTTTTCTACGGGATGGGGTCGCTAACTCCATGACCGACCCTCCTTCTTTATCCGGGCTTGGGACCAGCAGCAGCCCCAGATGGGCTCCGGGCGGAGTTAACCTATTATTATAGGCCTCATTAAACAGATTTTCGCATTTTCAAATGTCTCCTTTTTTGAACTATATAATGCGTTTCCTCAGTTTTTACTCCCCTTCTTTCGTGTAGCATTACCAATAGACGTTATTGTCTAATTCTTAGGACGAAAATATTATTTCAATAATCCTATTCCATTCACATAATTCGTCGAAATCCCCCCTTCTATACTTACATACATTCTGTAGAAATTGAAATTCAGCCTGTAGCCCTTCTAGAGTTTCCCCCAATCGAAAGCCCGGATAAAGGAAGAGGGTTAGGCATGAGGTCAGCAACCCCATCCCATAGGAAACGACTTTCCTAGAAAAATGCTATCCAGGAAAAACAATTTGAACTCTCAACTGGGATTCAGAAGATCGTCACTCGGAAGAATTATGATACCCAAGATGCTTCGGAAATCACGAGGCCGATGCCTCACCAGACGGCACTACAAGTAACTAGGACTAACGTTGGTCCTTATGTCTGAAGACCAAAAGCTGAATGCAAGAAACATTTGACTACTGATGGAATAATTGTTGACATCTGGATATTTCTTAGAAAATCAATATTGCATTTATGCATACAAATTCAATGGTAAAATTATTTTGAATGGAGATGGTTTGTTTTCACAGACAGGCTAACATACAAGAGAACCTTATCTAACTGCAGTTTTCAAGAGGTTACATTGTGCACAATTTTGTATCAAAGCAAACGATAAAAAACTTCAACAATCAGTATTACCTTCGTTATTGAAAATCAGCTTGTTCGCGTAAACATTTTCTTCAGGAATATTGAGCAGTTTGGCTACGCGGTTAACTAACGGATATAATCCACCGCTTACCAAGTAAACATCAACCCCATTTTCTTTGAACTGATTAACAAGATTTCTGTCCAAAGCGTGAAAAATAAATACTTAAATAAATTATCCAGACCAAAATGATTATTAGGCCATATCATAAATTCATCAAGTTGATTTAGTACATAAGTTTAGATCTCAAAGAAAAACTGTTTTGAAGTCAACTGAGTTATCAAAACTTTTAAGATGGAGAATAGTTGGTTGAGGAAGAGAACGATTAAGCTTAAAACGTGAGCTAAACACATCAGCAAACGGAGATTTGCAGTTCCCCTGATCGATTCATCACAGTTCCCCATTACCAGACACCTAGCTACGTCAGTGTTAACTCAGTCGTTCCACCATACACCGGCAATGCCTCAAAGACACTTAAGACCAAATATTTGTGGCCTACACATATGCCGCATCTGTAGCAATAATACAGTGCGGACTGATGTGTAATACACCCGCCCATTGATTGGCAAACGGATATCTAGCTATATATTCCATAAAGTTTTCATTTAAATAAAACATGTAGTGAGCAACACAAACCATATTTTTTACCAATAAAGGAAATATTTCAGTACCATAAAGGCTAATATGATGAATTGTCCGCCACCTTGCCCAAGAAAGTTAGATCTCAGTATCACTAACAAATTATTGCTACCAAGTGTGACAACAATTACAAAAAGTGGTTACAAAACACAGCCACCGAAAATACTCAGTTTGTGATAGTCACATATGATCAATTCAAGAGGTAGACCGTACAAAATAAATTACATTTCTGAATAAAAACAACAGACAAACCATCCCAAAACCCATAGTTCAGGTAAGAAATACTAGTTACTTCTATAGAAGCGAATTACATCAAAGAATGCGAAAAACTGTAAACTTTATGAAAAGTTCATTCCCAATATTTATGCTGCCATACAAAGATATTGCGTAAAGTCTATTCGAAGTCCTCATTTTTCTCTGAGTAATACTTTTTACCAAGTTTCACCCAAAATGTTATCCACAGCTATTTTTAGGAGAAGGGATCATAAACTTATGAAACTAAACTGACTGATCGAATTCTGCAATAGAGACTGAAAGAATATCATAACAGATCCAAATAAAAACGAAACAAAGTCAAGAACTTCATTGACCAACTCTATGTATGTAAGTTAGAATACCAACACCTACAAACAGCATTTTAGTGCTGTTATAAAACTATATTAAAGTAGCCCTACAGTATGACTTGAAAGAGTAAAATATAGATTAATTACTTCCATTTTGGTACATTTAAAAAGATTCCAGCGATTTAATATGGATGTTTCATTTGAAAACGTTTAAGAAATTCCCATCAAATTTACTTGACAGCATTGGTATTTACATCTAGTGGATGTGAAAGTTTACACACAAGTGTCTGTACAGTCTGCTTGCGGCAGTAGCTTAGTGGTGAATCCATATGCTTTACAGTCACTGAGCTCCAGGTTCGAACTCCACCTCACCTATTTCGGTATGAGCAACAGGGTATTATCATTAACCTTTAGACTTGGAATGTGGCTCATACTCAAGGAACTTAAGAATGAGTTAAATTATTCGTATTTTGTATGATTACTAACTTCGTGTGTACGAAAAAAACCGCGAGACATTTTGCTTCATAACAAAGTTCAATAATTTATTTAGCTAACGTGTAATTCTTATCTTATAATCATCAACTGTTACAACCAAAATAGTATTTGCGTCACACTGTAACAGCGACTTGCATATCGACTACTATTAAAATTAGGATTGTATACATATACATAATTAATGGCTCATGTCCTTCTTAGTTTCATAAAAACACTCGTTCATTATGAAGTTTTGAAAATAAACTGTCTGTCAGACCTGACCATAGTGACATTTACATTAACAAAAGTATTTATTCAGAAAGGTCAATTTTTATAGGAATGAATGGCATATCTTCCAAAGTCTGATAAAACGAAAATCCATGGTGATTTTCAAAATTGGTTTATTAAATGGATGGAGAAAATAAGAAATGAAGTTATTTACACAATGATAACCGGAGCACGTACATTATGATTGCAAAACTAAAAGATTTAGTGAGATGAACTTACTCAACACCCGGTGTTAGTCTAACTGGATGGTTGTCTAAAAAGTCAGTAAGCTTCTTTAGATTTAAATTCATTATTGATAAGCGGGCTTCTAATGCCTTAGTAATGTCCAATTCTCCATTCATAGCCTCCTCAGTGCTAATGAAACTTTGAAATATAGACGAAATTTATTGTCTACATTTTTTTAACTTTATCAGTAACTCCAAGAAAACCGGCAATTTCATCCAGTCCTTCATCTTCACAAACCGTTGAGTCTACGTCCAAACAAACGCATTTGATATTAGACCAATCTGCAAACATCGATATGTTATACACTAACAAAAAGAAGTTTATTACACTTCAGTTATGTAGTCTCTGAAACAGGAAAGAATCAGATGTACTAGTATACAAAACCAAGTGTAAAGACTAGTTATATGAAGTAAAGATTTGAAACAACTAAAGATGCCATACGTCAAAAAGATCTATGAGGGTCTTCTAGATACACATCAGACTAAACCAATACTGCAACACCAACGATTGTGACTTTTACTTTGAGAACAGATCAGGTGCCTGTGTCAGTCCTCTCCTAGTATGATTTCGTGTACTTATTTTTCTCTTGAATGAGTAAATTGAAGGCCCATGAACTACTTATCCTGGTAGTTAGTTCTAAAAGTAAATTATTCGGCAAGAAATTTTGTTCGTTCTTGGCTTCTGGATCCGCCAGTTGGAAGAAAACAAAGGTAATTCAGGTTAAAAATCACTTTTAAGTATCCTTCACACCATAATTACATCGCTTCCGAATCAAATGTATAGTAATGTAATAAAACTTGGTTTCCAAAGATTCATGGTATGAGGAAAGCCACTGGAATCACAAGAGTACAATTCCTCTGCACATCTAAAACATCTGAGTAATTTTTTTAAAAAAGGGCTTGCGACTTGCACAGTACGCTCGAATTCGGATCTCATTATGGGCTGAGTAAAATAGTGACATACCTTTGGTTATTTTGCGAGTTTTTCTTACCCCCCAAGCCAGTCTATGACACTTAGCAAATACCAAACGTCACTAAGCCATGATCCACAAGTGATGACTGACTATGATCCCTGGGTCGTCGGTCAAGAAGTAAAGACGACAAACTTTTCCTAGTTTTCTGGTTGATACCAATTTGCATTAAGAAGCAACTGACTGCACTATCACACATTATTGACGTTTCGAATAAAAATACTTTCAGACCAGCTGGTGGTCAAGTTGCTACAGAAGTGATTGATGACCCAGACAAAACCATTATTGTCCTGAGTAGTTCTAATGTGGATAGTGCAACTGATGGGAAATAAATGAAGCGTAAACACAGAAGAGAAGGAAAGATAGCCAAAAATAACGCAAGTTTGGATTAAAAGTCCTTGGTGGGCTCATATCCGGTGTTAAAGATTACTCCGCCAAGTCCCGAATTAAGACGATATTTAACCCTATCATATATATAGGAAAACTTCGGCCTCATCAAACATTGTCATGTCATTCGCTCGACAGTTTTATCAGCCACATGTACAGGTCCTATGGCTGGTATCTCGGTGTGATTAGAACAAGTATTTCTAACAATATACGTGGAGTATACTTCGCTTGAATAGTTTAATTCTCAGCTTTTTCCAGATTTGATTTCGCTAATAAATCTGGATTTCCGTATAACAGTAATGAGGGAATACCATCACTGCGTTTTGTTCTCCATTTAACGTACAAAAACAATCGTTTCGGACAAGTACGATTATCATATTTCAACTGTCTTTCGTAAATAGTACAGCATCTAGCTATGGTCTTTTTACATATATTCTGGAGCTTTTGGTATTCGCACCTAAATTATTCGTGTCCTGTTGACAATAATAAGTCCCAGAAGTGTTTCCTACGCTTCAATAGCTTTTCGCTCTCCCTATTGATCCATGGAGTATTATGTGATAGCTTACGTATTGACCATAGGATAAACGGTGATGTTACAGACTCAAATGTAGCCTTAAACTTATTCCATTCGTCTCAGATCGACCCGCCTGCATTGGTCGATCAGTTAGTCGAGATAGCACAGTCTCTGATTGCCGGGATATTAGCCCGCCATATATTGGAACGGTGTGGGGCAAATACACATTGTATACCGTGTGTCTGGAACATAAAGTAAAGTACAACATGGTCACTATTCGCTAGTAGGGGAAGGTGTTGAATGTCGATGACATTTTCACAGAGGTGTGTGAGGACAAGGTCCAGCAATAACGGACCATTTTTCAAGTCAATATGTCGGTCTTGCGATACAGGGTCGCTATCGAAACCCCCACTTGAAGCTGTAAGCTCTATTCAGTTGATATGCGGTGCGTTGAAATCTCCAATGATGAAACAACATGCCATACACCAAGAACCGATGTCTTACGATAAAGTTGTCATCAAAACAACACGGACCATGATACATCTCTCCTATAGTCACTAACCCGTGTCTAGACTTGGTTGTACATCATGCTACTTGACATGTTCCACTAACATGCGCCTCTGATGCGATTGATTATATACGAAAGTGATCCATAACATATAACATTATGCCGGTTCCCTTGAGACTTATAACTCGATCACTTTTAATACAGATGTAGCCTGCAATGATGAGAGAAAAGTCTATATGTACGGCGAGCCAAGTTTCAGTGACAATTATATTGGGACTCAATTCATCCACCATCAAACTTAGCTCAGACGTTTTATTTCGAAGACTATGAGCGTTCGTGTGACATACATCTAAGGTGCTTTAACAATCATTCGTTCTACGCACACAGGCCTCGGAAGCATTGGCTTCCAGGATCTGACCACCCGAAAACACTTAGTGGTAAGATTCGCTTTGCCACTTAGCTTGCAACTTCCTAACTTTGTAAAGACATTCTTCCACTTGATTTGATCCTCAAGCGGCCAATCTGGTCGGATACGAATATTTGAATGCGTCGTTTAGAATGATGTCTCTTCCTTCATGAATTCCAAGTACTAACTTTAGGATCCTTTTTATTTGGATCTCGCCTCAAGCTAATTTACCGACCCGAGCTCTCAATTTTGGGGAAGCCGCTATAGTAAACTTTGGGGAGATTTTGGAGAAATGGCACAAAAACCCCAAAATTTCCCCAGAATCTTACTACAGTCTGGGGAAATATGCTTATATTTATTAATAAAACCCTGGAATTTTTCACAATTTGGGGGAAATTTTGCGTTTTTCCCCGAAATTGCCCCCTGATAAGACTCGATTCTTATCACTTTCGTGATATGTACCCCCAAAACCTTTTCAGATAGTACATTTCTGATAGCAGATCGTGTGCGTATCTTTTATCAGGGTCATTGTCTTTCGACTCCTCTAGATTCCAAATAATATTAAACTGGGAACAGGTAAAACTTCTTTGAAAGTCGTGTTCGCGGCAAGAAAACAAACGGCAAGCTCCCAGAAGTTAACAGGAAGGATCTCACATCACTGAAAGGCAAACTGTCAGGATTGATACAGGTCCAGCAACCTACTTTCCTTATTACCATAAACTGGTAATATTTTCCCAAATTACCAGTGACAGACAACCGACATAGAGGATGAATACGTACATTTATTATGATGCTGGCCCACTAAGAAAAGAACAACTGCTTTTCTGAAGGTTTTAAATATAACCTTTCCTTCTTAGCTATGGTGCGTCACATCGACAATTCGTGAAGTTTTTCAGAAGCGGTCAAATCAAGACATATTTAAATTTGAATTTAGTTCAGACACACCATGTCTGATAACACACATCCTACAAGTAAAGAAGACGACGCCATCGTGATGATGCATGATATAAGACGAATCTCCAATGATATTACGTTATCTCAACGGTTTACAAGTTGAGACAATTTTAATAACTGTTTAAAAGTATTACATGAGGTAAATACGACTTCTGTGGTTAATAATTATTTTTGTAGTATAATCATACTAAGTACGTTACGTCAGTATGTAAAAAACAGTGATGACCCGAATCTAAAGTATTTTTTACGTGAGATGTGTTATAATCATCTTTAGCATATGCATAATATTTACAACCCTCAGCACAATTAATATATTCTCTATTAACCTATTTCTTCCACAAAAGTCGAACAAAACAGTGAAAATCAGCCAAAATTGTGATAAAGACGGGAAAAACGATAAATCTTATTATAGTATCGTTACTTGTAGCGCTTTTTAAAAAGCGCTAAAAAATTTGGTAGCCTTGAAGACAATACAATTTTTATGACGATATATGCTTTAATCATGTTATTTCATATAGAAATAAATTATTTGTCTACGCTCAGTGTATAGTGAGGTAGAAATAATTGCTAGTCTGTGATGCAAATATGAAAAAACTATTATAGCAGCACCTGAATAATGAGTTTTCAAGGACTTCACGACACCATGTAACGCAAAAAGAAAAAGACCTTTTTCACCTAATCGTGAAAACGTTAAATAAACTTTCAAATTAATTTATGATTATATTCGAATTTTGGCTATGCAAAAAGCAGAAATGAAAAAGTAGAGCAAAAAATTGTCGCGATACACTTGGAGCGCTGCCGCTGCACAACGACTCTGACATTCATAATCCCACAACGTAAAGTAGTGTAGCAAAATTATGAACAATTAATCAGTGGCTGAAGAAGTGAAGTACCTCCCATAGTAAATAAGCTGTCCATACTTAAAAATGTCACGAATATTCATGGCTTGACAACGCCCTTGGCTGTGCTCAACATCTACTGCAATCGCTAGCCAGATTAGATCAGAGAATTCCGATATATTGGTTATCGTCAAATGGACTCTTCCGATCTTTTCGACTCTGTCTTTTGATTTCTCTTGGTGGGTATGAATTATATTAGGTGTTGCCGGTAAAAGTGTTGTCAAACACTGAATACCTGTGCCATCTTCAACGTCAGGGTCGATGTTAAAATTTTATAGCGCGACTTACCCCAGGATTATTTTTACCACAATAACTCACTACTCCTTAATAGGGTAGTAAATATTCCAAGACATGGCCAGCCAAAAATCCAAGCACAATAGCGTCTGTTTTTTCCATATATAAAACGTCATAAGGCACAAAATATTAATGGAAGATATGTTGAATAAAAATTTTGATTCGTCATATCCGTCTTCAGTTTATTATTCTTTCCAGTCATTCAGGGAATGAAATAAACTAAAAAATGTGAGTGCAACTCGAAATACACTCGTACTTACGTAACCAACCGTATTGTGCAAAACACATCGGTATAAACGCATCTATGTACCATGGGACACTTGAAAAAATTACATCCAGGAAAGGTGGGTCTTATCTGTGTCAGTGCACCTGCACATGTTGTTGATGTAGACTTTAAAAATCAGTGGACCAAG